AGGGCTGGGCGGGTAGAGAAGTGCAGCAATGAATGAATGGAAATCCAAATTCTCTGTAAATGTTCATTAAAATTATTTTTTTAAAAAAGAAATATAAACATTACCTTATTTGAGAACAATGTTGAATGCTAATTAGGGTGGATTACTTATCAGTAACAAAAAGTATTACCATTCTTCAAATTAATACATGTGCATATGCCATCTGACTTTATGAACTACTTAAATGGTATGAAAAGAAACGTACCTTCTACTGAGTCATGAAAAGTTTGACCCCATTTGGCAAAATAAATAGAGCCACTTCCTGCCCAGGGAAAACAGATTAGTCTGAAAACAGCTTTAGGGTTTTTGTGTAGGCAGTTCACCACTTTTTCATTCCTAGAGGGAAAAAGTAAAATATACTGAACATTAGATATTTTAAAATAGAAACCTTAAATAATTATGAAGATTATTTATTAAAGTATGTTTTATAATTTTTCCCAAAAGGTAGGTTTGTTTACTTTCAAATTCTGTTCTGCACAGTTGGAGTATGTAGAATTTTAAGATTGTAGATAAAGTCAATATACACCATCATCAATACACACCATCATCAGTACATGCCATCACCAATACACACACACCATCATCAATACACACCATCATCAGTGTACACCATCATCAATATACATCATCTAGGGAGTGTATTTTGATGTTTGGTTTTTTTTTTTAAATCAAAGAGTGTGAAAGTTTCAACAGAGCCTAAAAGCTACAGCATTTATGAATAAAAACAACAAAGCAAAAGGGTGATTTTTCTTTGCCCAAATTTTTTTCAAGTTTTTGAAGACTGCTGACCAAGATTACTTTGTGCTAAGAAGCAGGTTATCTGTGGTGGAGACTTGATCCGGAGCCAGCATATTCCAGGGAGGTCTCTGATAGAAACAAGGCAGACCTTCTTGAAAGTCCATGTGGAGTGTGATAACTCCTCTCCCACCTAGACACTGTCATCTGTCATTTACAAGTCTATTGTCAATTGCGATAGAAGGACCCTGAACTGGAATCTACTCAGGCCAATAGTCTACCTGCCTCCCTGACTTCTGAAACTAAGAGGACAAACCTTTTTGGGAGCTAGTTAGGAGTGGATTGCTCCCACTTGCAGTTGACACTGAGGACAGTTGACTGAAGAGACTGTGTGTTGGGAAGCAGGAGTCATGAATGGAGACTGCACTAACACCCAATGGCCTACTGGGTTGACTCTGATGGCATCAAGGAAGACCTCCCCAGAGATCTAATCAGAAGGTAACACCCTCTCCCACATCTGCTAATTGTTGGTTGACAGGCAGTTGCAAACTACTACAGAAAACCCCCATCATAGAGTCAACACCCATTTTTGGCATTCTTCTAGCCTCCTTGTGCACTCTATAGCTCAGTTCTCTGAAGCCAACAAGACAGACTTCCACAAGGATCAGTTTGAGTCTGTCTTCTCTCCTTTAAAATTGGCACTGAGGATGCTGATTGAGGCTTCTGTGTGTCAGGAAGTAGGCCTGGTTTGTGTAGGCTATATCTAAAACTAATATGTTGTTGTTGTTGTTGTTAAGTTGATCACAACTCATAATGGCTCTGTGAAAAATAGATCAGAACTTTGCCATATCCTGTGTCATCCTCATCATCTCTGATATACTTGAGCCCATTGACACAGTCACTGTGTCACTCCATCTCTTATATGTCTTCCTCTCTTACACTGACCTGTCGCCTTTCCAAGCATTGTATCTTTTTCCAAGGTCTTCTCCTAACAACATGACCAAAGTATGTGAGATAAACCTTTACCACTCTTGCCTCTAAGAAGGACTCTGTTCACACTTTCTTCAAGACGTATTTGTTTGCTCTCTTTTCAGTCCACGGAATAGTCAGTACTTTTTTCCAATACCACAAGTCAAAGGCATTAACACAATATATTATGGGGTATATTGATAGCAACAAAGCAGATTGTCCTGAATATCTTTTGGAATGTGACTATTCCTCTCATAACTGGTAACCAGACCAATACAAACGCCTTTTTAAACATTTTTTTAAAGTTGATTTTAATGAAAGCTTAAAAATATTTTGGATTTCTATGCATTCATTGTTCATTTTTCTTCCTGCCCACCCCTCCCCCCAGTTTTCTCTTCTCTTTGAAAAGTACAAGAAAAATTATTTCATTGGTATAGAATCTCCCGCTCCCGCCCCAAGTACACCCCACTATGCAACCTTCATTCTGGACTCTTGTCATAATCATAATACCCAATCATATCTCGCTTTCAAACAGTTCTCTCCCTTACTGTTTCAGTGCAGTATACATAATTTATCCAATTTTCTCAGTCTCACTCCAACCCTGACGTCAGTCCCATTCTACAATAGTGGCACCATGCAGCACCTGTCCTTTTGTGACAGAAATTTCACTCAGCATAATGTCCTCCAAAGTTACCCATTTTGAATAATATTGCATGAGTTCCTTGTATTTCAATGCAGTGTAGTATTCCATTGTGTGAATATACCACAGCTTCTCTATCTATTCATTTGTTGCTGGGCACTTAGGTTGTTTCCAACTCTTTGCTATTGTGAACAAAGCTGCATTAAACATGGGTGTGCATATATCTGCCTGGGTGCAGTTATGTTTTCTTTAGAGTATATTCCCAGTGGTGGAATTGCTGGGTCAAATGGTATCTCTATTTGCAACTTTTTGAGAAAGCGCCATACTGCCTTCCACAGCGGTTGCACCATTTTACACTCCCACCAACAGTGAATAAGGGTTCCAGTTTCTCCGCAACCTTGCCAGAATTTGTTGTTTGGGGCTCTGTTAAATTTTGCTATTCTTACTGGGACGAGAGGATATCTCATAGTTGTTTTGACCAGTACAAACTCTTATGGCAGGTTCCCTACAGTAGGGTTAGTTGAGTCACTTAAGTGGAGACTGATCTTCCAACATCAGTCATAGGGTCACTGAAAGTTTGAAACTAGGAAGATAAAATCTCTCAGAGGTTCTTTTGGAGAGTACCAGTCCCTCTTCCTCCTGCTATGAGGAATTCCGCCTGTGCTTCCCCTACATGCCTGCTCAGATGTTAGCAATATTCACCAAGCAGAGAAGGAAACCTTGAGCAACACCAGAGCACAAAACCAAGTTCTGAAGGAAACTGTCTGTGAATGGGTTTTCCAAGGAAAGTCTTGGTTATTGAAATAAAGAAATGTCATGTTTGGAAAGGTGGAGGGTTAGTGAAAGAGAGGAAGACCCTCAACAGGACGGATCGATAAGTGTCTGCAGCAAAAAGCTTAAGTGTGTCAGAGATGATCAGGATGGTGCTGGATAGGACAGGGCTCAGATTGACCCTTGGGTCATGCTTGACTGGACAAAACTTAACAACAACCAGAGAGGGGACTGTGACCGTATTGATTAATAATGCCATCTCACCTAAGTAACAGTACCCATAGGTGGCCAGGCTGATCACAGTATGTTCTCTAGTTTATACAAAAGAGATATAAAGTTAGAAAACAAGATCTGAAACTCCCAAATACTAATTAAGCCAGTTAGGAAGAAAGAGCTAGTAGAGAAAGGAAGAAGAAATTTCAAAGGTTAAGGCATTTCCCAAGGAAGAATTTCTTGCTGAAAATCAAAACTCAAAGTCAAACTCACAACCATTGAGTGGTGTGACTCATAATAACCTGTCATTAGGTTTCTAGGGCTATAATTTGTAATGGAAGGAGACTGCTCATATTTCTCCTGCCGATTTGCCAGTAGACTCAAACCATTGGAGATGTACAATCTATACTGGGAAAACTGAAGTGGAACACTCTCTTGAAAATTTTAACACTACAACAAAACTATAAATGTACAGAAATGATGGCAGTTACAGAACAGAGTTCCGTACAAAATTATGTTAGTCATAGAACAGAGTTTAAATGTTTTGTGCAAAACTTACTCTCAGTTGTATTTTACTTGATGACACTAACCACTGTTAAATTAAACTAGTGCTGTTATATCTGGAGGAACACTCTTCCACTTTGTACATCACTCTTTGTCTATGTGCTGTATGAAGTAACCTGGGTTGCTGTGATGCTGAATCTTGTGCCATTGGGATATCAAATACAGAATGGCTTCCCAAGGTAGACAGTGTTTGGTGGAGCTCCCAGATGTAAAAGAAAATGTTTGGAAGCAGAAGTGGGATCCACTTCCTAAACCACATGCCTCTGGAAACTCTATAAAGAATTATGTCTTTTGTTCATAGAGTTGCTATGAGCTGTACTCAACTCGATGGCAATCAACAACAACAACAACAACAAAAAGAGGGAAAGCACAGCTAGGATGACTAAATAACAAAAAGAAATTATAATACAATAATATTAAACATAATTTAAAAACTAAGATAAAATATGGACAAGATAAAAGAAATAAGGAAAGCAATGCAAAAGCAAAATGAAGGTCTAAAAAAAGAGATACTGCAACCAAAAAGGAGGGAAACAGAAATTAAAAACACAGAAGGAAGATTTATGACTAGACTTGATGAGGCATAAAAAAGAATTAGCAAGTTAGTTAAAGATAGTTAAAGTTAGTTAAAATGACATATGTCGAAGATCAACAAAAATACTCAAGAAATCAAAGCTTAGTTTGATGGCTTCATGAAAATTCCTGAATAGATGAGATAGAAAAAGGGACAGAAAGAATATTGGATGAAATAAATTTCCCAGGTCTAATGAAGGTGTAGGTCTGTGAATCAAGAAACTAGAATTTTCAGGAGGATTTGTCTAAAGAGTTTTCCACCAAGGAATATCGTAATTGTTTTCACTTGCAACTCATAGTGATCCTGTGTACTGCAACTCTGAACTCTGCTCTATTTTGAGCCAATCTCATTGTCTCTGACACACCTACGCCTACTACCCCAGTCACTGAGTCAATCTGTCTCATTCAAGATCCTCCTCTCTTGAGCTGTCCCTTTGCCCTTCTAAGGATGATGTCCCTCTCTAAAGACTGGTCCCTTCTTGTAACATGCCCAATGTATGTCAGACAGAGCTTCAGAATTCATGGGTCCAAAGTGAAGCCTGGCTTCATCTTCTCTAGGATGAACTTGTCTGATCTTGTAGCAGTGCATGGTATATTCAAATCTCTTCTCCAGCACAACTCAAAGGCATCAATTCTCCTTCTATCATCCCTAGTCATTGTCCAGCTTCCCAAAGCATGGCAAGTAACTGCAAAGACCATAGCCTGTATCAGGCACACTTTAGTCTCCAGACTGACATCATTGTTCTTAAGTACTTTGGAGAGGTCTCTAATAGCAGACTTTTCTAATGCATCTTTTAATTTCCTGGCTGGTACCAAGAGTGTTGATTGTAGAGTCAAGCAAACTGAAGCTGGTAACAATCTCAATCTCTTCACCATCCATACTGATGCTGCCAATTGGCCCAGTGGTGAGAATCTTTGTTTTCCTGATATTGAGCTTCAATCTATATTGAAAGCTGCAGTCCTTGCCCTTCTGCAGCAAGCACTTCGGGTCCTCCTCAGTTTCAGCAAGCATGGTTGTGTCATCTGCATGACACAGATTGTTGATGTGTCTCCCTCCAATCCTGATGCCACATTTCTCTTCATAGAGCCCAGCCTCCCAGATAATCTGTGCTGCATGTAGATTGAAAAGATATGCAGCTAAGGCACATCATTGATGCACATTTTTCCCAATTTTGAACCATGCAGTGTCTCCTTGCTTTGTTCTGATGACTGCCTCCTGGTGCAAGTATAGGTTTCGCATAAGCACAATCAAGTGTTCTGGGATTCCCATTCTTCTCAGAGTCAGCCACAATTTATTGTGATCTACAAAATAAAAAACCTTTGCATTGTTAATGAAACACAGATAGGCATTCCTCTAGCACGCTCCACTTTCAGCCAAGATCCTTCTGACATTAGCTATAATATCCCTAATACCACAGCCTCTTCTAAATCCAGCCT